GTCGTCGAGCAATTTCATCAATTGAGCTTTTCTCTTGCAAGAATAGCCTGTCAGTCTTCGTTCTCTCGCTTGACACTTGAAGTCGTGTACAGTGCGAGGGGTTGACATGTTTATGTCCAGCAATGTCAACAATTTGGCTTTCCTCATGCGAGAATAACCAGTCAGACCACGACTTTTCGCGAGAGCTTTGAGTTCTCTGACAGTAGCCATGGTTGCTTATATTCACATGCAAAGTCAAATGTCTAATTGGTTGTTTCAATATGCAAGAGAAAAACTAACCCTTGCTTATATCCACGTGCAAAGTCAAATGATTAATTGGTTGTTTTACCTTTGAATGAATGGTTAGCATGGTAGGCAAGCTGTCTATGGCACCAGGCCAATATTTCAGCCAGTAAGGTGGTGCGTGGATCGAGTCCTTGTATTTTTGGGTGTCGTTTTTAAAAAAAAATTATAGTCAGTTACGTTTGTTGAGATAATCTTTCTTCTTTTCATAAATAACTTGGTTTCGTACACTGTCTGCCCCATGGGATTTACACAAGCTATAATGGCATTAACTTCAACACTGCAAACATTTTACGTGTAGTTCACGTGACCTTTCCTAATTAACATCATGTTTATTCGCAAAATTCAGACGCCCCATTCCTGCCGCAAGTCTTGGCCTTCCTGAGCAGCACATATTTGCATTATATATAGATGAACATAAGTCTAATTGCTTGACGAGCAGCAGTGCTGCTGTTATGCCTAAGGTCAACTTGTCCCAGGGAAGGCATGTAATACTGCAAGAGTGTTGGCAGTTCACCAAGTTTTTTAAGCTTATATGGAACCAAAAACTACCTAGGTTCTTTGTAGGCTCCAGTCCTAGGTTTGGGAATTCCCAGGAAAAACTATCAAAATCCAAGCAAAATACCCAGGTTCATTGTAGATTTCTGTCCTAGGTTGGGAATTCCCAGGAAAACCTAGCAAAATCCAGACAAAATTCAAGCAAATCCAAGCAAACTCCAAACAAAATCCAAGCCAACTCCAAGCAAAATACCTAGGTTCGTTGTAGGTTCCAGTCCTAGGATTGGGAATTCACAGTAAAGAATCAATCTCCAAGCAAATACAAGCAAATACAAGCAAATCCAAACAAAATCCAAGCAAATCTAAGCAAACTCAAAGCAAAAAATATACCCGGCAAAATCCCTAGTCTGGGAATTCCCAACCCACATTAGAGATTTGGGATGGGATAGGAATATGTTTACCAAACACAATTCCACCCAAAAGACAACTTTTGGAAAAAGAGATAGAGCAGATGCAAGGTTTGCCCATGAAGATGTCTGCCATGCGAGGGAAAAAACAATATGGCATAGGTGCCACTAGGTTGTACAATATATGGAACAAAAAATAAGGAAAACAAAACTATAGAAAAACACATTTTGCCACCCACAAATGTAGTGGTACCTACTATCCAAGATTTCTACAATCGTTTGGATGGTCTAGAGAAGCGTGCAAAGGAGGCTGCAAAAATGTTGGCAGAAGCCTTATGTATGCTGCGAACTAAAGAAGAGGAAGAATCTAGCATCCAAGGAGAGGAGAGGAGGAAGAAGAAAAATTGGAAGAGATTGTAGAAGAACAAAAAGAAACAAAAGAAGGCATACAAAATATTGGACATGTGCTAGAAACTATACAAAAATGGACATACATATTTGTTGCTGCTATGACAGTATGGAAAGTTGGCAATAGGGAAGAAGACCAATTTCCTGCAAAGAAACAAACTATTGCAACTGTCCAAAACAAAAAAGATGCTTTCCATATGGAGTAGACAACAACAACAAAATATATTAAAAAAATGATGAGGCGCTAGGAGCCGAATGGGACCGAAAGGGCACGATGTGCGTGTTGGACTACTTTTTGGTCTTCTGTAGTCGTAGGCTGCATGTTGCTGTATGTTTTTGTAATTTTCTGTATACGGAGAATGGAAGACAAAAAGTTGTCCAATACACAGAAAAGTAGTCAAAAAGGGTCTCCACAGGCTTTTTTCCCATTGCTTTAACATTGGTGGGCCAGAACCCCCCATTGTGTATACTGCTGACGTCAACGGCAGTGATAGCACTAGGACACTGTATCAGTCAACATACAGTGTCATACAGAGAACATTGTGTTCGAACACATTGACCTTACGGCTGAGTGCGTCTGACTCTTCAAAACAGACCATGATTGACATGGGTCAGGTTTGACGTTGGTAGAAGAGTGATTGGTGATGTGTGATGTTCACGTACAAGAGTAGGTTTTGCCTGAACAGCAGTAATGATGGTCTGGCTCATGTTTACAGACAAGTAGGTGAACGTTTAGCACTGAACCGTGTTCAGCAAGTCCGACCGTTTGGAGCCGGTAGCTTGATGGTGTGTGTGTGTGTGTGTTGGGGGGGGGGGGATCATCTGCGGCAATCTCAAAATGAGGCTTGTGATTATACATGGCAACCTGAAAGCTGAAAGATACAGGGATGAAGTTTTGCGACCAGTTGTGTTGCCATTTATCCAGCAACAACCACGTAGCATTGTCTACCAACACGATAACGCAAAGGCCCCAGGCAGCAAAACTGCCAAACGACTTTCTGCATAACGCTGACATTGTTATTTTGCCGTAGCCAACATGTTCTCCCGACTTATGGGACTACCAGCACCAGCTGTCACTGTTCAACAACTGGAACAATGTATCCTTCAGGAATGGCAAGGCATCATGACTAACGTCATTCATCATCTTACATCTTCGATGCCTCAAAATGTTTTGGCATGTGTTGAAGCCAGTGGTGGTCACACTCACTACTGATTCAACATTTGATGACATTTTGCAGACAAAAATGCCTTGTTCATTTGTGTAAAAGACTATGATACTTTGTGTCTTTCAGTGTCAGTCATATGTTACTTTCGACTTTGCATGAAATGAAATTTTCTTTGAATTGAATTCTCTGAGTGAGTGAGTGAGTTTTACGCTGCACTCAGCAATATTCCAGCTGTATGGCGAAGGTCAGTCTGGACCAGACAATCCAGTGAGCAACAGTATGAGCATTGATCTACGCAATTGGGACATGATGACATGTGTCAACCAAGTCACCGAGCATGACCACCGGATCTCGTTAGTGTCCTCTTAAGACAAGCATGGGTTACTGGAGATCAATTCTAACCCGGATCTTCACGGGTATTGAATACTTTATTGAAATTAAACAGATTTAGACAATAACTAACGAATGACAGGGAATGAACATCTTTTCCCTATTACTAAAAGTTCAGGATTCATGGCTCGCCGTTGTGTTCTTGAGATATTTTGCAGTTGGAGGTGGTCTGTTACAATACATGCATGGTGGATATGAGCCATAGTGAAATGCCAAAGCAGGATATCTATGGTGCCAGTATGTTGCCTCGATAATACTGTCCATTGACAACATGCAGCTGTGTTCTGGCAGTCACAGTGTTTCCATCAACCCAGCATCTGATCTGTTTCCATGCATTGATGTTCGTGTGATGTCTGTTGGGACACCTCAAGACACACACACCTATGCTATAAAGTCCATAGTTAAACTCATCTGACATTACATAAGATCTCAGTGATTTACCATTTCTTTGCTGTGAACTCTATTGGCATTAATTATTGTACGAAACATGGTTGCCAAGCATGAAGACGATTTCTAAACATCTGGTCAGTTACTTGAACACTAGCTGCCCATTTCGAGTGAACAGCAACTGGTTAGCTGTCACTAACTACACAAATGTTTTCTGCAAGGAGACAAGCTCGGATAAAGAGTCTACAGTACCACAATTGATATACTTCTCTGTGATTACTGCCCCCTCACAATAAGATGAAACATCTTCCACCAATAATGTTTTAATATTGAACAAACTTTATGGATAACAACTTCTTTTATTTTGTGAGTGTGACGTTTCGATGCAGATTCTTGTACTGTTGTCAAGCAGGAATGGAGCATGAAGAGAAGGGAATGTAGGAATGGAACATGAAGAGAAGGGGAATGCCACTCAAAGAAGCAATAATGCTTTATCATTCTGAATCTGCTAATGATCCTCACAAAGGAATATGCTGAGCACTTTAAACGGCTGTGAAGCATCCAGCCCACACAGAGCATAACCTTGATTAAATTCTTATGGGTTCGTAAGACATCTATCATTTTGGGAAGCCTGGAATGAACCCCAACCCTGGGGTAATGTCGAAGACCCACATTATCTGTGTATCCTCTGTTGAGCAGAGATCTGCACTGTTATTAATGTCAATGTGATGTGTCCTTCATCAGTCTGCATTCAACATGGGAAGGTGGTGCTACTTCCATGTTGTTTCCAAAGAGGCCAAAGAGATTGTTGGGGGAGGTATTGATGAAGAGGCATGATTTTTCTGCCATACCCATATGCATGTTATATCCAAGAACCACTTGACTATCTGTATTATCATTTGTTTCACACTGCAAGAAAATGGAGAGCTGAGGCAAGGAAACATCCGGAGGCTGCCATTGTGTGCAGGAGAGGCTGTCAGGTCATGACCTGAGATAGGAATGGATCAGCACGGGACAAGCGATACTGCTATTTTTCCGAGTGGGACCATCAATCATGTCTTGGTATTTTCCAACTACAACCAACTAGCATGGAGGATGCAGATGATGAATCTGATGTGGTGTATTTGGCCAGATGTGCTCTGGAACACATGTTATATTTGGAATTGTGTATTTAAATGTGCTCTGGCTGGATGATTCAGTTCTAATGGATTGTCAGCAGCAGCCATTGTAACATGGGGTATACATAGATCAACGGTTTCATACACAAGGTTTATGTGTGAATACAAATGTTTAGAGGAATCAAATGGAATCCTATTGTGTCATGGTAGAACATAGATTGCAATCTTTTGTATATTGTAAATTTCTAATAAAGATTGTAATGTTTGGATACTGGTTTGGAAAGTTTGAGACTTTACTTCAACAGAAGTATTCAACAACTCACTCACTCACTTTCCCATTTCAGGTTATCACAGATCATATCTACAACCTGATGGAGGAGGAGGAGGGTCTCAACCGGATCAATGTCCCTGTAAGTTTGGTAAAGCTATAATCCTACTAAAGTAATGGCAGAAATAGATAGAACATTGTTTGGTTTTTCAACTTTACAGAGTAAACGTTTGATGTTCATTGTAACAATTTGTAGCCGTGTGGTATTTTTCATTCTGCAGAAACAGAAAAGTGGGGTATTTTTGTACATAGTTTTGGCATAATTCAGTCCATGCATAATTTATTATATACAGAAAAAAAATCAACAAAAACAATATAACTTTTCAATAAAATATTAAAATTACCTTAAGTGCGATTTGGGTGCTGTAATAGCACTCATGTCATGTCATTTCATTTTCTGGTCTTGCTTGTTTACTAACACTGGTCACCATCTTGGTTCTTCTAATTTTCACCTTCTTCTTTTTCTGAATTGGGAACCATCCCAATTCACTTCAATTCTACTTTTCCATCAGTAGACTCACTTCCTTTGTCACTTACCTGCCACTGATTGGCTTCTTATGCCAAACAATTATTTTCTTGGCAATGATTGGCCCTATTGGTCCTTCATAGCTTTCCTGTTGCCTACCTGTGCATTGTCTCTCAGTGTGTGTGCCTGTGTCCTCACTGAGAGACATTCTCTTTTGTGCAGGTGAGTCAGCCCTTTCACTATTTCATTAAAAAGATAAGTTAGGCATAAGTTTGTTAACTTTATTAAATATCAATATATGTTAAACATTTGTTAAATTTATTAAATATTAATTAGGCATATACATCAATGCTAACTTAGAATAAATAACTATATACTTGGCACATATACTTATTATTATTATTACTACAGTATCATACTGTTAATTGATTGATTCAATGTCTGTGATATTGGCATACTGTCACTGGATATAGTTATACCTTGACCATACTTTACTTATTGTTTTGCAAATGTTGTTAAATGTGATACAGTGTGTACCTATCTCCCCATTGAGAGACATTCTCTTTTGTGCAGGTACACACGCATACCTCTTCACCATCATCAATAAAGAATATTCTTGTTGGCTGTCGTTGACAATTAAGTAGTATACACAATGTAAAAATTGAGCCCTTGGGAAGTCTCTAATCCCGTCCCCATTGTGTATACTACTACTGATGTGCATGTAAAATCTGATGAAAATCGGTTTCTGAAATATTGACTTTTAAAGAACCACTAAACTTTGTTTTTTGTTACTCTTTTAACCATTACATATGAAAGATTTGTGGTTAGTCTTATGCGGAACACCAAATTTATTCTTTAAAAACTTGTGGTTAATTAATACCGAGCGATTAAAAGTGGCCAAAAAGTCGCCTGCCTCCCTCTCGCCCGCCAACGAAACCACAGACAGGTTACGTAACTCTGTCGCCAGAGCACTGCAGTGACATCATATGAGGAACGATTTTCAGTTAGTTGTATAGAAAATGTGTAGCACGCTCATCATTTTGATGATTTTCGACATCAACGACGGACACATGCGAATCGTTGCTTTGTCGTCAATTGCTCCTAGGGTGAGGGCAATGGTGTCCCCATGCACAGATTTCCACAGGACCCGCAGTTTCGTGCTAAATGGGTTATGTTTGTGAGAGCGGGTTGGCGTTGTGGAAGCCTGAAGCGATATCTTACTTGTGTTCAGATCGCTTCACAGAAGTTAAAGAATCAAAACTACTTACTAATTCTAGTAAAATATGCATATGATTAATGACCATAAAAGTTTCTATGACACAACTTGTAACATAACGATTTCTTTCCTCGGAAGTGAGTTTGTGGTCGGTAACAATAATATTGTAAGTAGTATTATATATTCACACCCACCCGCCAGCTGCCACGAGAGAAATTGTTATATTATACGCTATGTCATGCAAAATCCTATTGGCCATCAATAAAATACATATTTTACTACCAGTAGAAAGTAGTTTTGATTTTGTAACTTCGGTGAAAACAAACCTAAATACCATTTATCCTCAGACTGGCGGATGTTCCCGACAGGGCCGCCATTTTAAAAATAAAAAAAATCTGTTAGAATTAATGAGATTATAGTTTGTTTTCATCAAGTTAGAAAATCAAGACTACTTTCTACTAAATGAGTTAAATATGTATTGGAATCATAACCAAACGGATTTTGCATGACACAACTTATAACATAACGATTTCTTCCACGGAAGCGTAGGTGGGGGTCGAAGTCACAATACTGCGACAAATTCCTTCTACATTCCCATGGTTAATGTCCATCACCAGTATGTAGATACTAGTCAATGTGCGTCTGTATATTTGGTCTTATAATCCTAATTAGTTTATTATCATACTTGTATGCATTTTGAAACTAAATAAAAGCAGGCGATCTGCTGATACTTATAGTGAATTTATAACAGAACTGTAATATCTAGACATTTTATAGTTTGCCAATGTGAATCATAATTAGCACACACACCTAGTGCATGTTGTCTGTCTCATTACACTTCACGGCGAAAACAATGATTTTGTTGAATGCTCACGACAAATGAATAAAAACAAAATGCACAACTTATAACATAACGATTTCTTCCACGGAGGCGAGGTGGGGTCGAAGTCACAATACTGCTTGTGACAAATTCCTTCTACATTCCCATGGTTAATGTCCATCACCAGTATGTAGATACTAGTCAATGTGCGTCTGTATATTTGGTCTTATAATCCTAATTAGTTTATTATCATACTTGTATGCATTTTGAAACTAAAATAAAAGCAGACGATCTGCTGATACTTATAGTGAATTTATAACAGAACTGTAATATCTAGACATTTTATAGTTTGCCAATGTGAATCATAATTCGCACACACACCCTAGTGCATGTTGTCTGTCTCATTACACTTCACGGGTGAAAACAATGATTTTGTTGAATGCTACGACAAATGAATAAAAACAAAATGCAAATATTAAAATTAAAACAGATTAAAGTTATAGGAACAATATCAGGCCATTACCTTGTTCGAGGAATGTATCCATCAATATCCACAAAACTGTTCCAAATGATGTGTCTTTTAACAGTTTAATATACGAAAAAGTGATAAATCTTTTCAGGTATTGGTGTATAGTCTCATTGGTCACCCAACATAGCACACCTGGCAACTAATTGCATAATGTCCGCCTTTCTTTAAAAACAGTAATTTAGTTAGCCAATAATGGGCAATCAATCAATGTATTGCGGTTAATCCTTTGAAAGAAGGGACGTTGTTTTACGCCAGACACCGACACGACAGAGTGTATTCAGTATAGATTAGTAAATCTACATACATAAACACTACCTTTGACAATTCCGCTGTTTAAGATAAAGTAATTAATCAATCAGCGTATTATCGGTTAATCCTTTGATCGATGTTTATAATGTTGAATATTTACTCCAGACACAAGAAATGCCCAATGGGAACCTTTGTCGGGTAATCTAAGTGTGTTACCACTAATTATACCTGTTATAAATTCATTAACTGACCATCAAGTGAATGATGACAAATAACATGTGTAGGTTTATACCACCTAACACGGGTTACAACAAGGGAGTATTAATTGCTGTATTGCATGTGAAAACTTATGGGCGACACTGTTTTGAGAATACAAACAGATTTTTACATGACATGATTAATTATCGAGGTAAAAACACAGAAATGGGATCAATTTGGATCAGTCATTATACAAATAGGGCCCTAACGACACCAATCGATTTTGACAGAATCGTCTAGGAAAACAAGTTATAACTCGGAAACTAGGCAAAGCAGGAGACAAAATTAAATGACAGTAGATTGTGAGAACATACAGCTTTAATTTTCCACAACAATTGTCACGATTTCAGGTTTATACAAGCCTGTAAACAAGATAATTTAACCCCTAAAATGTAGATGAATTCTGCATCGGCCCTCAAAGCTATTCCTCATATGACGTCACAGAGGAGCGCCGCTCTGATTGGTTGAAATTTCGTTCGCGGGTTAGAATTGTGCACTGTTGTCAAAAAGGTCGATTTAAGTCAATTAAAGGTCGAATGAGTAGTTTTAATGACGGGGTTTCATTTATAACGATGCCAGTCAGTGATTTATGTATTTGTACCCCCTAGGGTTTATGTGACCTTTAAGTGAGCATGGGATCGGTCGGGAAAAGGCAAAATGTCCAACTTTTTGTCATAATTAAGTCTTAATTAATATAATGAAGTCATCAAGAGTATTCCCAATGCCGTTTTGCTATAGCGTAACCATCTGCTGAGATGCATGCAAAATTTCACGAAAATCGGTGAAATAGTTTAGGAAATAATCACTTTTAGTGGGCATGGGATCGGTCTGGCGAAAGGCTAACAATCCAACTTATTGTCGTACTTGTTATATATTATCGAGGCGAGTGGTGTTTTTAGCTGAATGAAACGCAGGTCTCAGAAGTCATCACCTCGCTACTGTCTCAGGGGTTGCTACAGATGTCTGAAAGTGAATGAAACGCATATCTCGGCAGTTCCTACCCGGGTCGTCGTTTTGGTATCGTCGAGCGAGCGATGTTGGCGAGTCGCAGTGTGTGTCTCGGCTCAGCTATTATTCACCATGTTCAGCTCGCTATCGAGCTGGCTGGCCACATAGCATACCACAACCTAACAGCACATACAAATAATCATGAGAATTATCATACAGTGGGCGATCTAAAAGGGACTGTGTCGTGAGGTACGATCATCAACTCCTCTCTGACGAATGCTTTCGGCGGTCCGTACAAGTTCGTTCGCCGTCTTTGATGTCGACAAGGTCTACGTTGTACGTTTTCATGGACCATATCGGATCGGTGGCGCGATTTCTTCTGTCTCCCTTGTATTCTCCCGGCTGGTACAAGTACCTAACGCTGACCAGGTCTGGTAATGTTTCTCTATTTTATCGCGACGTGCTGCTGCCGACGACGATTCGACAGATTTCATTTTGATGGCTTTGACGGGTCTCTTACCCATGAGTCTGGTGCCTATGTTGTTGATGGCATCCACCACTCGCGGAAAGCGTACGACCCATTCCGTGTTTCTGTT